GGGTCATGCCTGTCTCAGATGGGCGTCGCGCATCCGTGGCCAGCAAAGTGTGATTCGACGTTGGACCACGTTGACGTCACTGTTCGTCCAGTTGAGACCGCCAATGTGACATATGATTCAAATGGAAAATTTAGGCTACATACATGGAAGAATGCTCTCAATCGTCCCTTGTCAGTGTATCGCTCGAGTACGCCGAACCACACGGTACAGGGCTCACTGCCTATGAGGTTGGTAGAACGTTTTGAGGTTTTTAGCCCTAAACCATACGCTCTAGTAGTGACTAGAGAAAAGAACTCTGGATTTGCAGAGAGAAAATGGTTCTCATTCTAGGTAGAGCAATGCCAGTGTCCTCCTGGCTACATCGGCACGTCCTGCGAGGACTGCGCTCCAGGATACTCAAGAACCGGAGGTAGGTAACTTTCAATATGAATTGGAATATGAGAAGGAACTTATCATTTGTCTCTTCAGGCGGTCTCTACCTTGGACTTTGCGAACGCTGCGAGTGCCACGGTCACGCAAGTCAATGTGACAAGGTAAGTTCCACTGAGGACTTGTGCAGCCCTTAACCACTTCCAGTTTTCTGCTCCTCAATAGTGCTTTCGTAGCTGAGATTGATAGGGTTTCAGGAGTACGGCTTCTGTGTGGACTGCCAGCACAACACTGAAGGTGACCAATGTGAGCGATGTAAGCCTGGTTTCATCGGAGACGCTCGCCGAGGTACACCCCATGACTGTCAGCCGGCCGTCACTCGTCCTCCATGTCACTGTAACAATCACTCTCCAAGAGGCTGCGATTCCTTCGGGAGATGTCTGGTGCGTTGTTTTGTTTCTTATCTGGAAAATGCCCTCTCAAATTACTCGACTAAATTTTCCAGCTTTGCGAACACAACACCGAAGGAACGCACTGCGAACGATGCAAGAAGGGCTTCTATGGAGACGCCACCAAAGGAACCGCCTACGACTGCACTCCTTGCCTTGCCCGTTAGTGTATTACGTACTGAATTGAATCGGTCCCCAAAAAATATCACACATTAGCTTATGTTTGTTTTAGGAGGAGCTGTTGATTGCTATGCGATTTCAGCGGTCAAGTTGCAGGTGCAAGGAATACTGCAGCAGGTTTAGCCGGTCGGCTTTGTGATGAGTAAGTTGTTATAGATGCACTTCTATGCATGGTCAACGCCGTGTTGCTCTCCAGACCAGCAGGAGCGCCCGAAATGGTCATCCGCGACTTTAGAGAAACATTTCAAGAATTTTACGCCCTCTCTCTCAGAAAGTTCTCGATACGATCATCGTATAACAACATCAGTACTATGAGGATCCTTCGCATAATGACATCCTACCACGTTGGCCCGCCATCCTTCATCACCACTTGTATTTTGATTCAGGAAACTGCAGTCAATCGCCCACTTCCCTCCAAAATGCCCGGCAGTCAGGGATGGGGGGGTGGTTTTTTCTGATTGAAAGTGAGACGTACTCACATTAAAAAATAATCAAAAAAATTTATTAAAAAAAAAAAAAAAAAAAAAAAAAAAAAAAAAAAAAAAAAAAAAAAAAAAAAAAAAAAAAAAAAAAAAAAAAAAAAAAAAAAAAAAAAAAAAAAAAAAAAAAAAAAAAAAAAAAAAAAAAAAAAAACGGGCCAATACGCCTTTCAAAAAAAAAAATTTTCTCGGACATCCCATGCTGTCTCATCTTAATGTCGATTGTTACCTGAACTTGTCTATCATTAACTTTGGAAACTGTCGTGAACGGAAGATGGCAGTTGCGGTTAACTAAACTGCATAAATATGGGAGGTTAAGAAATTTATCAAGTATAAAGGTTTTAAGGACCTAATGAGCTGAGGGGCGGGATGGCGTCGTTGTCTCGATTGGTGCCATTTGAAGTGGAGTTATCTCTCAGGCGCGAGGAGGGTTTGGGTTGGATTGGTTAATTGAATCTTACTCCTCCAATGGCATTTCACTGATATTTTCAACCTACCCCCTCAGACAACGTGATCGCTGCCTTTAGATTGATGTAGGTACTGAAGGAAGTGGGAGTTTCGTCCCCTTGATAGAATACCAAATACAACCCTTCCCAAAAATCACGGATACGGCATCCGTTGGGCTTTGACCAATGAGCAGGATATGTTTGTACGTTGTCATTGGAAGGCTGTGTTGTTGCAGGTGTGCCCCTGGCTACACGCGCTCGCAGAAGATTGCTGGACGTCCATGTGAACCGATTGGACACGTTGGAGACAGCGACAGGACCTATGTGCCACAACCGCCTCCCCACGAAGGTGAACCACCCCGTCGCAATCGGCATCGCAGACGTCGCATCCGCGTGCGATCGCGGTACTACCAGCACTGATCGCGCTTCCTACCGAAAGTCGGCACGTTTCGTTGACGGCAGCTCCGTGAACGGAATGTGCCGACTGTGTCGTGCTGCTTAGTGTGATGCTTATTGTAATCGCCAATTTATGTGCCTCACACCTAGTTGGTGTTTTCTCACTCATCATTTTGCTCTTTTTCAATGTGTCCAACAACAAAAACAACAGCAAAAAACATCGCGTCTTTGTCGTCAAGTGTGTAGCCCTTTTTTGTGGTCCGTTCGATGTTCACACTACCAGCACGTTCGTATTCTCGTAAGCATCTGCCTTCGTCAAACTGCCTTTTCGTATCCTTCATCATCGCATCATCACTCTAGGCGTTCGTTTTACTGTCACGTTACGATTTTGTTCAGTGTTTGTGCACCAAAGCATCATGACGTAATCCCCGTTGTTCGCACACACATATTTCTGTTCTGTTTTTAATAAACTATGTTCGCTTGGTCTTCACTGGTGTGTTTGTCAGTGGACCATTGAGCGCGTCAACGTCCTCACCCTACCATCACCGTGGTCGTCGTCGTCGTTTCCGTCGTGTGTGGTCAGTCGGTGCCGTCAGAGTGATGCAGTTGTGGTGCTACCAAATGTTCGCTCTAATCAACGCCTTCAGCGCTTCGAGTACGGATTCTGGAGCCAAAACACCAAGTGGTGGCCAACGGCACTAATGTTCAATGGATTTGCCAGATCACCGGACCCATGGTACGCTCTGACACAAAAGCTTTCCTCAGTTCATAACAACCCTATTTTCGCTAGCAATACAATCGCGAGCCTATCACTGAGTTCATGGCCATACTGCTAATTATGCTTAAAGCCGTGCTAATTATGAGGAGTTTCGCTTAATGAAATGCACATCACAATAAGTACTACGTAATATAATACTATTCACAGAACAGTACAGTGCCCTTCGACATTGACCCCGTTTTTTGAACCATACTCGTTCCTTGATAAACTGAACACGAATGTCCCCTTACGCTAAATCCATCCCAGACACAGGGAGTTCCTCTATGGAAGCCCTTGATTTTTGGAAATTATTGGATTATTATTACTATGGAAATTTTTAAAGGCTCAGAGAACAATGTTTGAGTTGGTGGGAGCTTCCATTTTTAACAATAAGAGAAAGCTGGATATCGAACCAGGTCTCAAAATCAACAAAATATCTCGCTCAAGGGTAAGTATCAATAAACAATGCATTATAACCAATCCAGTTATATAATCTAAAGTAGAATCCTTGGGTTGCATCCAATCCACGATAATCAAAATTCAGATGTGATTCAGGCGTATTTGTCGATTTGTCTTATCACCTAACGAGAGCAGCCCTGGCATACCCCCCTGAGTGCAGAAAGACAGCTCGCTTCGATTCAGTTGCAATCGACGCTACCGAGCGGAAATAGCATTACCTTCCGGTTATCCACTATGTGCATCGGACCCTTGTCAGATTCGGAATTTCAGTGAATTTTCGAGCGTACCCGAATGGAGCCCCGTTGCGCGCGAGTGCGCAGAGACGCAGTCAATCACCGGCAGTCGGGAGCCGTACTGTAACGTATTTTTACCGTCTAGTCAATAGGAATGTTAAAATATACGTTCCACATCGCACATAACACTCGGCGACTCGTCACACCCGTCTGCTTTACTTCTCGCCGCGCGACGGGCCTCCTGTCGGGTACTCTTGGATTTGATATGGCGGGCGTACCGCTGTAATTCGAGCGGCAAGAGCGATGCGCCAGCGAATCAACGACATAAGTTGGCTGGTGCATCGGTTCAAATCGCTGGCACGTCGCTCTACCCCTCGAATTGCTGGCGAAACGCCCAATTGCTTGCCAATCCACGAATTTGCGAAGTCTGACATTAGCCGGGAAGGCTACTGTTCACAATAATGTTGATTAAAGATGAAAACAGAAGTGGGAAATGGTGTAAGAAATCAAAAGCAGTGGTACAAAAACCGATCAATGGAGGGCCTCTGACTTTGGACGAGTTTATGCCTTGAATTCTGGCCGAGAAAGATGACTAGACTGCGAGATTCCGCTGATATTGTGACCCTTGCGTGCATGTGAGGGCTGGGAATTTGTGCAGATGTCCTCGCTTGCAATGCCCGCCCATAGCTGTAATGCTCGACTTTGGGGTGAGGGTACCCCGACAGAATATGCAAAACGACGAGATATGCAAATTTGGCTGTTTGATACCAAATGCGCTATCATATGGAAGTAGGCCGATAATGATAGCGAGATCGCAAAATTCAGTAACTACGATTGGGAGGAGGCGATTCCGGAGGAGGCGCATCGGTTTTATGGTCGAACTGCGTTGCAGCTACTTATGGTTAGCACACTTTCTGCGCGAAAACGGTAGGTCTAAGGTCTCGCTTTCCTTGCTGCCTTGTTGCCGCTTTCTTGGGTAAATGCACTCCCCGTTGCAGACCCTTTTTTACCCTACTTTATCGTATTCACTGCCTCAAACACGCCGAAAGATCAGATTGACAGGAAATGATTGAACGGCGCAATCTGACCCTGCTCGCTTCAAGCCAGGATGTTATGCTCGAGAAAGAACAGTGCTCATCACGTAGATACCAAAACTGCTCGAATCCCTTGAACCTACCATGACCTTGAGCTCCTTGATATTGTTCAGCTTTGGTTGGTCCTACCACTCAAAAGGTTTTTGAAGTGAAGAACGACGTGGTGAAAAGCCCTACCTCATTCCATAGACTTCTACACCTTTCAGGACCACTTTCCTCGGGGCTAAAAAAGGCTAAAACTATTTTTCATTGGCGTCTTTTCACTGTTTTTTTTTCGGGACCAGTCGTTTAACAAGTCATAAGAAAACCCCTATAAGAAAAAGTGAAACCCATTCCGTTTTTTCTGTGTGCGCGAAAAACTTTCAATCCCAGCTCTTTTCTCTACAGCATGTGCTCATCTGATTCTTTCATGCTTGCTGATTTAAATGCAGCTTATTAAGAAAGTAACATTCAATGCCATTCTTCATTGTAGCCATACCCGTAATGCTATATATTCAATATGGCTTGGAAACGATCATCGACACAGGCGTGAAGAAGTGAGTGGTAAAAGCATATTGGTTTCGTTGTATGGAGTGTGAGCTATGCTATAGATAGCCCTTTATGAGGTATGTGCTCAGTGATAGGCTATCGACGATTTTAAACGCACAGATGCATAGTTTACTCTGTGGTGTTCTTTGCTCGATCAGTCTTGCCTGATTTTCAAGTTTTTTTGTTCGTTTTTAAGTCTTTACAGTTTTTGCTTGATTATTAAGATTGCTTTTTAACTTCGTCTTCATCTAGCGCAGTATGTTTGCTTCTCGTATTGACTGGTCGGGTATCTTCATGGTGGCTCGGCATCACGTCAGCGTTTGATCGCCCGGACGCGATTTTGAATCTGTATGCAGTCCAAAGAGGAGAGGCCGACAGTCCGTGTACTGCCACCGTCAATTCGATCGCTACGAGACGCGAGTTAACATCGCGCATTCAGTAGTCATATTTGCTCACACATTTTAACTCATTAATGTGCTTTTGGGCAAACCACACTCTTGTTAGTTACTACTCGCAGCTTTTTGACAAGCGGGGTCATTTTCGAACTTATGTTATGCGAAAAATGCTTCAGTTCTGACTAGTCTAAATATTTTAAATTTTGTGGCATTCTTAAGTCAATCCGCAAAAGAAGAATATGATCAGTAAGTATACCTAAAATAAGAACTAGGTGGCCATTACCGGGGGATAACCAAAGAAAAGTTTGATATTGCTTTGGATCATTTCCTCTTTTTTGCTAGCCGTTTCACTAAAAAAAAAGTAAAGACGATAAGAAAAGTAGAGCTGGAGCAGTATAGACGAAAAATGATGAGACGGAGGAGAACGAAATAATGATAATAGGAGCGTAGCATACGCCAGTCGGCGATCGATGCTAAGGCGGTTAATTGCAACAGGGCGGGCATTGCGCGTAGAGCTACAACCCGCAGTTTCTATACACGCGTTAACAATTCAGCAGATTCCCTGCGCTTTTCGACCACTATCTTCCTGCAAGAGGCATTGTTTTGCTCAGACGTTACTCAATTTTTGCAAAGTACGCCCCCTACCCAGATATTTGCTCTAGCTAGGGGAGAGATATGTTTTTTGCATAGAACCCTCCACCTTTGCTGCTTTTACCCTGCAAGTGCGGTACCGTGACTCCTTAGGTAAATTAGAGTGCTCAACGGGGACGTCTCAGAGGTATATGACCCTCTAACGCAACCTTGGCGTGGCAAGACTTGGTTTCGCATTGCGAACACAATTGGTAGCACGGAAAATCGCGAAATTTTTGTCGGGGCTTGATAGAGTGCAGTGCTGCTCTGCAACGAGAGCCTATTGGTAAAAGTTGATTTGTTTTGGCAATAAAGTGTAAATGAAGCTCTGCCGTTTGATCCAATCCTTTGGATGCGCAGATTCTTATATTCATTTGTAATTGTAGTGGCGGTTTGTATGTGGCTATATTTGTTTTTGTATGTGGTATCAATGATTGCGGGGGCCAGCCGATGTACAAGTCAGTGTTTTTTATCCTCCCAAGAGGTCTGGTACCAATTAAGCGACGCTGGAGGAAGGGAAGGCTTGGTTGGCTCGGACGAAGCATGACCCAGTGGCCGATCTCGGATTGCGCGCGTGCGTGCAACTGCCAACTGATCAAGATTCTGCCCGATTATGGCAATACAGTAGTGAGATGGGAAGCTGGACCTTCTTTTGACTGCGATATTTTTCTCGCCCAGCATCCCCAAATATGAACAGTTTTCTAATCTCCGGCCCCGATGCCAAATGTTACGCTTTACCTTTATTGTCACCTCGTTCCTGCGCACTAATCAGATGACTCAGGAAACGAGCTTTACGAATAGAAATGGTTGAGAAATAATTTGGTATGATTTTTGGAAATTTATCTCTGGATCGAACGGCATCGGTGGAAGGGAAGTAAGGGGAAATTCTAAATTTTTGATCTTCCTGCAGAGGTCCAAGATTGTTCACTAGATGATGATGCGGCTCCGCAGTCTATAGCGCCTGCGTCTTGAATGCTTCTAAAGCTTGGAGATGCATCTATTCTTGTTCTGTGCTGATCGGTCCATTGCGATGAATTTTAACGTCACGGCATAGTTAATGAAGTCATGTAGTGATAAGCAATGGGGTGCTGGTCGCCCAACTTAGTACTGAAAGGAAATGGAACGTTTGGTCTCATAATTTTTATTCTCGTGATGGATGAATCATTTTGAGAAGCATAGAAAGTGTACAAACCTGAACCCCAAGTGATGAGATTTCCCGGGCACAGAATTTTGAAAGACTTGATTTAAAGGCACGGGATAGGATCGTATTGGTGCGCTCTTCTATTTGAGAATTTCACAATATGTGCGATGAGGAACAGCAAATTGCGTCATAGAGACAATAGAATTTCATCTTCTGAGGTCCGTCCTGTATGCAGCAGCACCAGCATGCGAGGTGAGGAGAAATTGAGGGGCGCAAACTCGTATCCAGCATTAATAAGATGGCAAGTGCGGCAAGGGAAAAGCCGGCATCAGAACATTGCCGCGTCATTGCCATCGGACAGGTCCGCACAGCTGTGGCTGGGGCCCTTTTTTTCATACACGAAGGTGGCTTTGCCACCTAATTCGACCGTGCCTGCTCAGCCGTCTGAAGAGACGACTCGGTAAATCGACAGTGATTAACATGTGTAGAAAGGTACGCATTATTTCCCTAAAGATCAGTAGTGACGGGTCGTAGATATTAGTGGACACTCGCTACGATCCTCTTCGGGGCACAAACACTTTTGGAAGGACGCGGGTAATAGAATGGCCTAGCTTTGACTCACTCGTAGATGTGTTTTCAAAAACTCAACAATAACGAAAGTGCTGTTAAAATTCCCCTACTGATGAGAGAAGCATTAACTTGTCGGTAATTGCAGGTAACTTTTCCTATGGCGTATGGTTGTCCGACGAAGTTTTTTGTCAGTTAAGGACCTCTTTGAGGCCCTGCATTTTAGCAGTGAGCAGTTCCCGACAATTATTCAGTCGTTTCTTATAAGATCATTTGATGCGAAGCTCCTAGTCCAAGAGTTCGGCCGATTAATCTGTTTTATCGCGATGAGGGTGTCGTAATTACGACTAAGAGTAATTAGTGGAACGTTAGGGAAAATAGCGTAAGGCAGCGGTCAAGAGAAGAAGATAGACCAAGTGTTTGTAGTGTCCTGTGCCTTCTCGCAGATATTCAGCTTGGCTTTATTTCTTCTCAATGATATGCAAAGACAAGGCATGTGCTCGTGCTTCCTGTTTGGACTCTCACGCGTTCCGATCGGCGATGGTGAGCTGGTCGTCAACCAAAAATATATGTGTTGCTTTGTACTCTTTTTGTTGCGCATCTGATGACCAGTGATACCATTTTAATCTGCAATTGCGAACTTCTCAAGGGGAATAGCTCATTTCAAAGGCTTCACACAATACGCTTCTAGTGATTGACGTCCACTCAGCAGTGGTCGACCCTCTTCACCTTACGGTCAACGAGAACGAACCCGCAGCATACCGCTGTTGGGTACCAGGAATTCCTGACTGCCAAATCACTTGGCACAAGGTATGTACTCTTTTTTATGATGTTAAGTGGCCCCGAGCACTCAACAAGGTCAAACTTTTTGGGAAAGCAGAGCCTCAACAGATTTCGTGTAGACTGCAATTCTCAGCTTTTGCGTACTTTCAGGAGCGAATTCGGTGGTGCTAATTCATGGGTCTATCAAAGACGGGTAATTCTCTTAGGTAGGTATCGCTATATTATTAGTCTTTTTGGGTCTCATCAGTGTAAATTAATTATTTCAGATTCCGAGAGTCAGCTACAAGAGCAGGAAACTACATTTGTACGCGTGAACGATTTTCGGTATAGGGAAGTTCACCCAGCATGGCTGGATGTTTTTACGACGTGAGTGACTTACGTGGGTTGTAGTAATTATGCCGTTTCATCCACATTCACAGCACCTTTTTAGCAGCTCAACGTCCCAAGGTTGATCCAATTGAACAGACAGTGAATGAAGGAGAGCCGGCCAGGTTCAGATGTTGGGTTCCCGGTAACCCAGAAGCTGACCTCAAATGGCATCGTGTCGGGCACCAACCTCTACCAGCATCAGTCCAAGAACACCAGGGCATTCTGCACATCTCGCGAGCTTCGCAACATGTAAGTTTTCTCTTCGTATAACTTCGTATAATGTCATCGACATATTATTTGCTTGCATTTTTTAAGTGCGCAATACCCGTCTTGTGCTTGTCATAGTTAGCCAGAATCGTTATCTATCCTGCATCAAGCAGGGCTTTTGCACGTCGGTCCGAGGCTCTGCTCTTCTGCCTGGTGGTGCATCTACTCTCTATCATGAAATGGTACAACTAGACCGTCATCGGATACTCCTTCAATTTTTTGTCGCTTCAAAGGGAAACGCTGAATGTCGTCAGTTGGAATGAAAAAACCTTCTATCGTAAGAGGTGCAACAATTGGCAAAGTTCTTGAGAACGGACTAAAACCTTAAAAAAAAGAAGCCTTTTCGGTTGAGTGCGAGTGTGATCGGTGGTGAGATCATCAGTATGTCCACAGGTAAGGTTCGGGTAGGTAGCTATGGGTGCAACCTTTGCCGCAAAAGTGCCCCTGGTTCACTGAGGCTCCAGTCTCCCTTAAAATGGCATATGCCCCCGTCTTCAACAATTTATTAATAATCCCACCTAACTTCATGTTGAGCCAGTATTGCGATGGCTGATCTTATTTTTGATGACCAGACAGTTTATCTTGATTTTGAGGTGGTTTTTTTGCTCTATGAAGTCTCAGCGCTACTTCATATATTGTCATATTATGACTAATCATATGATTACGAATACCTTCAGAATATTTTTTGCTATGTTCTAAAAATGCCTTTTTAGGAGGCTGGTCAATACATATGCACAGCTACTGATCCAAGGGACAAGAGACCGTTAGATTCAGATCCTGTCATACTCAAGATCCGCCAACCAGAGGGTTCGTTGTGCATTTTTTTCTAGATTTCCTTTCGACGCGCACTCAACATGGTATTTTAGCCCCACCCACTGCGCCTCAGGTAGATCCTCAGGAACAGACTGTCAATGAAGGAGATCCAGCACAATTCCGCTGTTGGGTGCCTGGCAATCCTCAAGCCGTGATTCGGTGGAGTAAGAGAACTGGAGAACGTGAGGATCATTTCCCATTTAGATGTGACTTTTGTCGTATTCATAGGAACACTTCTCGATGTTCAGCACTTCCCGCGGGAACGTTGGATCGAGATGGTTTCCTTCGCATCACAAGCGCGAAAATGTCTGACGCAGGAGAATACATCTGCACAGCCACTGATCCTCGAGGAGGACCTCCTGTTGAAGCACCACCTGCACGCCTCAATGTGAACCCGCGTAAGTTCCACAGGCCCAACGAGTTCATGAATTGAATCTGACTTTGAGAGTGTTCTTTTAAGCAGCTAAGACAGTTCTTCATAATAATTACTACTATCTGACCGTAACTGAAAAAACTGGAAGAGGGACACAAAATGAAATTTTTACTTCAGTGCCAAGCTCGTAATGAAACCTGGAAATATGGCATTTTTGATGGCAATACAAAGCTAGAAAAAGTTACTGATTGTTTAATCCCGTGGGTTAGTGAAAGCAGCGTTCTCGAGTTGCAGATCTTTTGTGATCCACATTTGTTTGCAAAAGTTTAGATACTGGCCCTATCGCAAGATACGTGGGTATTGTGACGTTAGCATTTAAAACCGTGTTAAACATCTCCCTTGTGTTAAAGTCGGGTTAAGGTTCAGGCGAGGCAGGAGAGACAAGGTGCGTGAGCAGTTTTCATTTTCCCCGAAGTTCCTGCCCCCTCCGTGGCTTAGTCCTAAAGAATGCTCCTGTATCTTGTTATCATCATTCTACAGTAGTCTCGTGATCGTGTGACCACAAAATCGCAATCGCTGCACCAATTGAAAGACATTGAAACCTCAAAAGCCAATCTTATCTTGAAGTTTAGCATTCATTGTCATAAGGAAGAAATTCGGGTTATTCTTTTTTAGCTCTTTTATGGGTGCTTTGGACTCAAGCGAAAACGTTTCTTTAAAGTCAGGGATTGGTTTCTAGGGGAGGCTCCAAAAAATAGGTAGTGGGAGCAAAAGGGCTTATTAGGTGTCATTTCAATAGGACGGGTTTTAGTTCGGCAGACTGGTCAAATTGGGGATTTTCAATGACAAGTTGTTTCAAAGCAGCCTTGGAGAAGTGTTCACATCTTAGTTCTTGCACTAGGTCTCTTGTGGTCTTAGTTCTTACACAAGGTCTCTTGCGGGTATGTCCTTGTAGGTGCTGACTAAAGTGATTTTTTTTTTATTCCTCTCACCTCTGTTATGTTTTTCTTTCGGGCCTTTATGTTTTTTTCACACATTACGGTTAGATCTATTTTCTGTACAGTTACAATTACCCACCGTAGGCGACGAATCAGCTTAGCAATCAATTGTCACGATGGAGCTGCTGATCGTTTCGCAAGGAAGCCGCTCAGCGAAAATGAGCCTCGGTTTCATAGTCTACGTATGAAATTTTGCAACATGCAAAAAACCGTTAAAAACACTGTAAGCCTGAACGGTCTCCCTTGTCAGCTAGCAGGTTACGAGCGACGAGGGACGACTTAGCATGACACCTAGCAGCCTCTATCGTCTTCTTTGTGTAGAAGAAAGTTACTCCACATTGCGGCGCCCACAAACAGTTCTGAGTTACGCACTGGGTCTGGGCAGAGTGACGTCGGCGCTGGGGGGCCCGAAGGTGTTGGGCTTGCATACTTGTTTTAACACATAGTACACAGCGGGCGGAAGTGGTGTAGTGACAAGTGGCGCGCTTCACACACGCGAGCGGTCCGGGGATCAAATCCTGGGTCGTGAGTCGCCCGGGCCAACCAAGCCTTCCATCCCTCCGGGGTCGGTTAATTGGTACCAGACTTGTCTGGGAGGATAAAAAACACTGACTTGAACATCGGCTGGCCCCGCAAGTCATTGTATAGGCCACATCGCATTCAAACGCCACTTGCGAATGTACAAATGGAAGTAGAATGCGTGCCGCATCCCAAAAGGGATTGATCAACGGCAAATGCTTTATCCTTTTATTTTTAAACACCGCGCCCAGGGTTCTTATTTCACAGCGCCAAACGGTTATGCTTGTTCTCCTGTCCGCGCGTGACTGAAGTGCGTTCGCTGTTTTGGTTTAGGTGTACGATGAGGGCTCGGTGCATGCACATGCAGCGCTCAACATCCAAGTCACTTCCAAAAATGGCGAGGAAACCCGAACCGCAGGGCCCATGGCAGAATTCCTGAATAACAATGAATCGCTAGCGAATCGAACGATGCACGAGCGACTCGCGCTTACAAGTTGACTAGCCACTTTTCCAAGCTCGCGAGGCATGATAGCATGGAAAAAAGTCGTCGGAGAGTACAAAGCGGCATGGAGAGAATTCTCCACTTTCTCACACTCGTCCGCGTTTGTTGGCTACCGTCGTTACCCAGCTGGCATTCCGCGGTAACCTGCGATTAGCTGGCGATTTGCTAGATTCGCAAAGTCTGGTAGCGGCCGCAACGGAACAAGAATTCGTGCGATAGCTTTTTCTGCTCGACCTCCCCCTCTCCCCCCTATTCGTGAGCCCAATTGATTCAGCGCTTGACTATGAAAAATTCTTAGACATCTATAGAGACCGTGGCTTTTCCAAAAGACTTTTCACATCCTTTCTGATACTGTCAATATAATTGCAGTGCCATTTCAACCACAAGTAGAACCACCGGAGCGAAACGTCAACGAAGGAGATCCGGCTCAGTTCCGTTGTTGGGTACCCGGTTACCCACATGCTGTCATTCGATGGAACAGGGAACGCGGACAGCGTGGGGCTTTTCTCCACCTATAGTTCTGCTCTAATGTTTTTTGTAGACAGAAACATTTTAGCACTCCCTGTGGGAGCGTCTGCTAGAGACGGTTATCTTCGCTTTGACCGGACAAGAATGTCTGACGACGGATATTACATCTGTACAGCGTCTGATCCGACCGATCCTAGGCGAGGACCTCCTCGTGAGGCCCCTCCTGCTCGGCTTCGTGTAACCCCGCGTAGGTTTTTTCGTGAATGTGTCCATAAGAAAGAAGACTGACGTGCTGCTACACTGTCAATTCCTTTTCGATACTGTCGCATGATTGCAGCCTTTGCACCGCAAGTAGACCCACCTGAACAGACCGTCAATGAAGGGGAACCAGCCCAGTTCCGTTGCACGGTGCCGGGAAATCCGCATGCTATCCTCCGATGGAGCAAGCAAAGTGGACTTCGTGAGGCTTTTCCCAAACCTGCTTGAGCTCCCAAATCCTTTCCATGGAACATTGGAAAGTTCAGCGTTCCCTCATGGCACGATGGAAAGAGACGGCTTTCTTCGCATCAACAGTGCTAGAATGTCTGACGCTGGAGCATATATTTGCACGGCTACTGATCCCAGAGGAGGACCACCCAGACAAGCTCCACCTGCACGGCTTCATGTAAAGAAGCGTGGGTTCCACAGAGCTTTTTTGCTTCATATCGCTTTAGCTATTAGTGCATGTTAGCCTCAGAGACTTCTAGCTACACGTAGGAGTGCAGTGGCTTTCAGGAATGCGCAAAGCTTGTGAAAGTTTTGAGTTCCTGCTGAAAATACGTGAGTTTGATATTATCGAAAATTTGAACTATATTTTTTCAGCAGCAATGGCTCCTCAAGTCGATCCTCCATCACAAACCGTTGACGAAGGTCAACCGTCGAGTATTCGATGCTGGGTTCCAGGCAATCCAAGAGCTCAACTCAGATGGACTAAGCATGTTCGTTTTTTTTACTTGCTTAACTTGAATGGCCCAGTTCGGCCTCGAAATTAGCAGCAAGTCCCTTATTGGAAATCAGAGAGCACGTGAAGATAAGTCAACTGATAAGCCAGTGGATGTGATCTGGAGAAATACTGCGCGATAGAAAGCACGTTAATATGTTCCAAATATGAAGCTATTGGTGCCACATAACTCGTCAGACAGGAAGAAGTGAGTACAAACGCCCTAGATTTTTGGGCAGAAGGGTGGAAGGCAAGCAATTCAGGACGAAGTGAGTGCTAGAGAAGGTAAGAGAATGGCAGAAGGCATGGGATCCTGGAATGGGGGAAGTAAGTGTAGCGTCAGTGGCGCTGCCTACCACGCGCATCGTGAAGCGATCAAATCCTAGATCAAGATGAGGGATCCCATCCTACGAGCTCGGCCCATTCGTACCAAACTTGCCTTTTTTGCATAAAAAACTGAATTGTACATTGCCTGGCCCCGCTAGTCATTGTATTGGTGGCCAAATCGTATTCAATCGTTATTGAGGGCGCAGGGTTACGGTATCCCATCGGTTGCATACTGATGTTGGATTCTTCTCACTCGAAGTGTCAGTACCATCTTGAATGGGATAGAGTGCGGCCCATCTTGAAAAGGGCTTGATCAACGCCTAATGCTCTACGCTTCATACTTTTATCCTCCTGCATAACGATTTCGACAGGATTTCATCTAGGAATTGTGCGTGCGATAGTGGCGCCATTTTCCGCTTGCCCCATTATCGCATGTATGCGATAATTAGACTTGAATGGTGGAGGTGTGGCCGTAGTGAAGACGCCTTATTGTTGAGCGAACTTAAATAGGACAAGAAGGCAAATAATAGTACCTGGGGTGGAAACGGGAAAACTGGGTGTTGTTTTGGAAAAAATGCCTCCGTACAAAATTTTTATGTCGCAGTTTCTTACTACGGCATCTTTCGACGTTTCGAACAGACGATTGCTTCGCCTGATATTGCTAAGCGGGAGTCGAACAACATTTGCTTCCACTGCGCAAGAAAAACTTAAAATTTCAATTTTTACGCTGCCTTTAGGTGCTAAAATCGGCGATTCAGGCTTTTTCCGTGATTGGGGCGGATTTCTAAGCTTTTATTGAGAAGTTCTCGGGAATCGATTCATAAGGGTTGTATGTCCACAAAAAGCATTCAGAAAATACGTCACGATTCAGATTGTAATTTCTTCAATGTCAAATTCAACATTCTTCAACAAACATTTCTTTAGGGCCGTCAACCACTTCCACCTCATGCCCATGAGAGAGACGGAGTGCTTACGATTCCTCAGACAAGTAAATCCGATGAGGGTCATTATGTTTGTACTGCTTTCGATCCTGAAACTAGAACTCCAACTGACGCTCCTCCCTGCCCACATCGGCGTCCGACAACGTAAGTTTACTGCTCTCCCTAAATAGCCGTAATTCGCTATTCCTGTTACCTAATTTCAGCAACGAAGCTTCAACCACAAGTTGATCCCATTGAGCAGACCATTCCTGAGGGCTCTCCGTTCCGCATTCGTTGCTGGGTACCTGGAAATCCCAATGTGCAACTTTCATGGAGGCGGGCTCAAGGCGATATCAACGAGGATTCCGTCCAGGATCGAGGCATTTTGACCGTAAATAATGCTAAACTCTCCGACGACGGCGAATATATCTGTTCGGCTGAAGATCCGCGAACGGGAGAAGAGTCGGAGGCTCCTCCAGCCAGTGTGCACGTTACGCCACGCCCACGAAGACCCGACGTTGGTGATGGTGAGTATTTTACCGTATCCGGGTATGAGTCAGGAAGTTAGGCGCAGGCACTAACAAGGGAGGTCTTTCGGGACTTTTTCGAAATGGTTTTCTGCATGTTGTAGGGGCTCATGCGAGGAACACAGAACCATGATCCATTTTTCCTGAACGCCTCCAGGAATGTCAAAACAGTGGTGAAGAAATGGTCCAGAGTTCGATCCCGGTGATGACTAATTTTTGCAATATAGTTTGGCGCCCCCAGATTGCCGCCAAATGGCGCCATCGTCGAGAATAGATGTCATTGTCGTGTTTTGCGGCAATTTGGAGGCGCCAACATAAATTGCAAAAATTTGTCATCACGGAGGATCGAACTTTGGACCATTTCTTCCCCGCTGTTTTGACATTCCTGGGGGCGTTCAGGAAAAATGGACCATGGTTCTGTGTTCCTCACATGAGCCTCTACAACATTCAGAAAACCATTTTGAAAAAACGCTCCATGTCCTGAAAGACCCCCTTGTAAGCAGCCGCGCAGCACATAGGTTCCAACCACTTTTCCTCAAACAGTTCATTCTGTAGCATCCTGGCGTAAGACAAGTAGATGGCAGCACAATGCCTCCATCACCTTTTTTCCGCAGTATCCTGACATTTTCCTGGGGCCAACTAGATTTGATTGATAACTGAAAATTTACAGTTGAACGAGGACCGGAGATTACTCCACCCGAGCAGACGGTACCCGAAGGCGATCCAGCTAGTATTCGCTGTTGGGTCGAGGCGACCCGCAGGCTCGTCTCACGTTCAAGCGAGCCGATGGTGCACCAATACCGTTTGGTGCCACCGACCTGGACGGAGTGTTGGCCATCAGCAGCACGTTGAAGAGCGATGAAGGCGACTACATTTGCACGTACCATCCAGCGGATGGAAGTAGGCCAAAGGACTCCACACCAAGCACACTCAAAGTCGAGACCCGTACGTATTTTTGTTTCTTATACTTATACTTTTGTATTTCTTTATTTGGCATACTGTAACTTTTATTTCACTTAATTTGTGTTTTTATTATTTGTAGTTGTTTCAGCTGGTGAACCACCTCGACCAGTTGCCACTCCACCTGTGCTTACGGTGAAACGAGGCCAACCTGCACAATTCCACTGCGACGCGCACTCACCGACGCCTGCTCAAATCAAGTGGGGCCACGGTGACGCCGATTCCGATCCTGCCCGATGGTGCCAATCACGTCGTCGACGACATTCGGGGTGGAGGGGGCGTCATTGACGTCGCGGACGATTCACATGAAGGAGAATACGTTTGCTCAGCGACTAACGAATTCGGAACCGGAGTGGCAGAACCCGTCCAACTCGTCGTTACCGACGGTCAGCACACGCACCGTCGTTCACTTTGTATAAGCTTTACCTATTAGCAGAGGCATAGTACCGGTCTCTGTACAGCAGTAACAGATTGACCGGTGTGCTCTCTCGTGCAAATCTCAGCCGAGGAGAGTGCTTTCAAAATTCTTATGAGGTGGACGGTGCCGTATTTGGGGTTGGTAGAGGTGGAATGTCTGCATAAAAGGGTGGGGCGTATTTCGGAAGTTGATAGGGTTGTGATTGTGGTAGAGGAGCTCGTTTTACGATATTTCAAACTTGTCGAAAAAATTGAGAAATTAGAAGCGTAAGTGTGAAAAGAACAACATCGGAGAATGCTCAATTTCACAAATTCGACGCCCGTTTTGGAGGAAAAGTGGGCGGAGTTAGTCTGTGTCGACTGTCTCAGAATCAAATGCTATAGAAAAAGCCCATGATGGTGAGGAAATGGACATAGGTGGAGAAGAGGAGGGCTGGAGCTCGTATCGGGCACTCCACTAAGATAAGGACTGATGGTGGTGGTGGGGTTGTATCGTACCTGGTCTGAGAGCTCTACGAGAGAGGGGGTCGTCATGGAATTCCGAACATCGGGTGGATGACCCTTCTCATGAGTGCTTGGTGAAGGCTTTAGAATGTTCAGTGGAGAAAATTACGCGGTCCCTAGTAATATTTAAACAGCACGATTCTTTTGCTTGCAGATGAACAACCTCCAACGGCAAGAGTCGAACCGAGGGTCTGGAACGGAAAACCTGGAGACAAGCATCAGTTCAAGTGCCATGTTACAGGAGTTCCTACGCCAAAGGTTTGTCCTCAACTCAACGATTTTTGTGAATCGAGCCGAATTTTTTTAGCGATTTCAACGGCTCAAAATCTATTTTCCAGGTGACGTGGTCCGGTCCCAACAACTCACCTCTTCCTCATGATGTGACTGAGCTAGAGGGAAATATTCTGGACTTTGCCAACGGTCGCACGGAACTCAATGGAGATTACACTTGTACTGCTACCAACCCTGTTGGAGAGGTAATTCCTAGAAGGCATGGCAATATCTCCACGGTACTATCATGATTTCACTTTCAGGCATCTGACTACGGCTCAGTAAATATTGGACCTTCACTTACCGTAAAAACCACTCCAGCTGGTCCGAGACTCATACTTACAGTAGGCGAACCACTGCTGGTCAAGTGTGAGGCATTTGGAGAACCTGAACCTGAGGTAAGCAGGATGATTAAGAGGCTAAACGGACTGCGCCGATAACTGTGCTGTCCAGACCTTCTTCACAACTACAGTGCTTGAAATCATGTAAAAAGCTCAAAAAAGCTCCAAAAATTTATAGAGGAAGAAATAAAAAATTTTATATCCATTGTTTTGAAAATGGCTCTTCAAAATCCTTTCGAATCTCTTGGATTGTTTACAGTGAAACTTTTCGAGCCTCGAAATGTTTTTAATGTCGTTATTAATAACTGATATAGGTGGAATGGCTGTATGATCCTGGACCAGAGCGTGGAGACCTTCCCGATGACTACAAACCGGTCACGATCTCAGAGCAGTTTATTCGACACCCCGCCATTGGGCTTGGTAACGCCGGCGCCTACACGTGTAAGGGATCCAATAGTCATGCCACAGCTACAAAGAATATTTACGTCGAGGGTGGAGTCATCTCCTTTTAGGGTTCGA